CACAACTTCCTTTAAATTTCCCAAATATTGCCAGGCGCATGTCCAGTAAGTAAAACTGAGTAAGTTTCCACAACGTAGGTCCTATTTTTTTCTTCATTTCGTTTTTCAGAAGATTGTTGTTTAAAGGTAATAAAAATTCTCATCGTTCAATCTTACCGAACGAACCCGGGTATGTCATACTACAGAAGAAACACTACAAGGCCTTTTTTTCTGTTGTCCAGATCCACCGTACTAACCCCAGGAGTCAAACCAAATTGATTTTGTGTCAAAATGTTGTTTAGTTCAAAATAAGAACCTAATATTTCCTTGAGACATTTTTCTCAAATCTTTTCAAGGTTTGGAATGACACTACTGGCCTATAGTTTTCCATATGTTGTTTATTGCCAGACTTGAAAATGGGGCTAACTATTGATTCTTTAAATTGGCTTGGCACTATACTATTTTGAAATATCAGATTTATAATGTACGCGTGGTTTCAAGATGTACACATGGAGGGATTTAATTATTATTGAATTCCGTCTTTGCCAGGTGAGCAATTATTTTTCAAGGAATTTAGGTCAAACATAAAACTGGTAAAAAAAAAAACGCATTTTCCTATTGTGTTGTATTGTGTAAATCGACCTTTTTTATCACCTCAACAATGACAGAAAGAGTCAAGTCAGTGTCATATAAACCGATCATAACATAAAAACATGTTGCATTTACTTGTGTTCAGCTTTGAAATTGACTAAAACTGTCTAGCCTATGTTTTTCAGAAGAGACTTTTTGTTGTTAAGCCTGACTCACACTGGGCAAATTTAAAATATACAGGGTGTCCCACGAGGTTTTTCCCAAATGATAATTCCGGAACGCATCATCGTATGTTCCACTGTATAATTTTCTGTCATATCCTTTAACAAAGCCTTAACAAATATGGCATAGCCGATTTTGTAATTTAATTTTCTAACGAAAAATGCCATAATATACCATGAGTTACATTTAAAATTCGAAAGTTGACGTCACGACCGAAATTGAAGCAAAAATGGTGAAATTGGATGACAATGGTAGAAGCGGCACAAAAAGTTACCCAGATCCTCAAAATTTCAATTATATTGGATGACGCGTTCCAAAGTTATCACCTGGGACACCCTGTATATTTTGCCTGTACCAGTTTTATGTTTGGCCAAATGTATGTGTTTAATTAAGTCATTTTGTGTTACAGGTTTAAAATACATAGGGTTTGAGAAAAGATTTGTCAGTTTAAACGGAGTCGATGTTATTTTCATTTTTTCAGCCATTTTTGAACCTATGTTTATGAAATATTTATTAAAATTATCAATAGTAATATAACTAGTGCAATGGAAATTATTGATAATTTTTGGGAAATTTGCCCGAATGCACGTAGTGCACGAGTGCCTTTTTCAGTTAAAAACGCATGAGTGCAAATTTGTCGAAAAATAAAAAATATATTTCAATTGCACGAGTTGTATTTAATGAGAGAATTTCATAAATCAAAAATTTAAATTTTTTGTCAAAAAATGTCAAAACACCAGTTTTCGCACCAGTTACTAAGCAATTATCTGATAATTTGCACTAGTGCAAATTATCGCGTAATTCCAATCTGATTGGCTCAAATCAACAATCAAAACATGTCAATTTATTGTTGGAATACCAGTTTTGACAGATGTATGAAATTCTCATATATAATATCACAAGAGAAAAAAATTTGTCGGCAAAATTTTCGAAAGGTATGAAAATTTGTTGCTTGGCAATTTCGCGAATGACATTTTTGACAAAATCACGAGCCGTCAAAAATGTCATGAGCGAAATTTCCGAAAAGCAACAAACTTGAATAAAACCTTGAGAACAATTTTGCCTACACAATTTTTTCTCGAATGGTATTCGTCATGACTATTTCACGTAAGATTTTGAAAATAAATAGAATGCAAAAATATGAAAAAAACTTTAAATTAAAAATATCAGTTTGACAATGTCAAAAAATGGTCGCTGAAATGTTGTTGGTATTGTCCAGGTAGCATTATTGTCAGGTGAATACCGAATTTATTGCCGGTGTAATACACTCTAGTGAAATAGTCAGCAATATCCTTATGGTTTCCAATTTGTGTACCATCCTCCAACTCGAGGCTGTTTATATCGTTCTTTCTGTCCTTCCCGCTCTCATTCACAGCTTCATTTATGAGTTTATAAATTTTTTCAATATTTTTATTGTTTTCATATATCTTATTTTTGTAATAGATTCTTTGGTAATAGTTATATATTTTTCGTTTGAGTGATTAGCTTGTTCAATTTGTTCCGAGAGTCTTTGTACTCTGTAAGGCTTTCTGGAGTAAGATGTTTTTTTAAATTTTGTTTTAGTTTATCTCTTGTTTTTATTGAGATAATAAGACCATGGTTTTATTTTCTTAAATTTTGTGTTTGTTTATAATTTTTTTCTCATAAGATTTTTGTACTATACCTATCAATATTTTCAATTAGAGTTTCTTCCCAATTTTTCTTCTGTGTCAAATCAATAAGTTTTCCATTATTTATTTTATTAACAATATGCTTTTTTTTATTTATATTTTCACAATTACTATTACCATTGAAAGAAAATTGAGTTGATACAGGCAAATGATCAGTTATATCATAGTCAAAACATGGTCCAGACAAGTATTTTGACTCTGTTCTAGTTACATCTTCATATACAGAAAAGAACCCATGTGCGTTCAACATTGAGATGTATTCATTAACCAAGTTTTCATTACTATTCAATAAATTTAGATTTATGTCTCCCATAAATAAGGATGTGTGCTCGTTTTGTGTTTCTTAGATATATGCATACAAAAAGTCTACTGTGTTAGAATTTTGGGATCAATACCAAATATTCAAGCTTATTGTTGTATTTTTCATGGTGTAGGTTATATTAGTGATACTTATCTTATCGTACAGGTGTTCAGCTCCTCCGTGTGAAACACTGGACCTAGTGAACATTTAGTGTAAATAAGCACTCCATCAAATGTGTTAAAATTTGCCTGATCATAGTTGGTATGAAATCCCGGTATGTTATACAGTGAAGTTGTCATTAAAATATGACATTCTGTTAAAAGTATAATATCAGAGCATTTCAAATTATATGATTCAAGAAATACAAGTGGGCTATCAAAATTTGTTTTTATGCCTCTAATGTTAAGTAATCTACTTATGACCTATGTTAGGAATAGTATTGGGTGCGATTGTAATTTTTTCACTATCAACAGGTATATTATTTAAAACCTCTATTTCCATTGATTAGTCTATCAGTCTTTTAACGTTTTTCAGTAGGTACTTACCCCCTGTAATCCAAGTAGCAAATAAAGTTACTCAATCTTCAAGTCTTCCTCGCTCTGAATTTTGATCTTTCATTAATGCGGTGCGAATACTGAGGAACTTATGAAGTTTCCTAAAATCCATGGCCTTTTTGAAAAGTTATTGATTCTGCAGTGTTAAATCATCATTTATAAAGATTTTGTTGTTGTTATTGTTATTTCCTTCTAATCCAGATGTTTCTATGTATAGGCCTTTCTAATTCCTTCAGGTACTTTTTTAAAGCATGATAATTTCTCTTCTTGCCTCTTAAGTTTCACTAACAAAGGGGCATCCTCTCTTTTCCCCAATCGGTAGGCTTCGCACACTGAGTCACTTTTCAGCTGGACATTTATAGATCTTGCCATCTTATGTACAATTGCTGTCATTGTCGATTTTGTTTGTTTTGGAATCCCGTTTATTATGACGTTGTTTTCTTTTTCCCTTTGCTGTAGAAAAAACTTTGGATGGAGAAGATTGACTTCGCTGTGGTTGTGGTAAAAAATACGACGACTATAGTCACCAAATATGGCACTGATCAAGACTCTGGATGAGAAAGAAAAGCGGTACTTCACGTACGTAGATGTGGAGTTGCAGGCGGTAATCAGATCATAACAAAGATTGAACATTGAACAAGAACTATACACAAAAGTAGATATGAAAATGAAAAAGTTTCGAAGCTAAAAAATTTAATAATAGTTATTTTCCTAACTAGTGCGCAAAGTGATACTTTCTCGCACGTAAAAGCAGTTAGACGAACGACGCGAAGCGGAGTTCGGATAAGCTTTGAGTGCGAGAAAGACACTTTGCGCAAGTGTTAGGAACAATACTTTTTCTACGGAGTGTCTTAGAAGTTATGAATTGACTATAGAGCATTGTTTTACATACAAGACTTTTAGAAAAAAGGGAAATCAGTTACATACAAATTCAAACTCAAATTTACAAATTCTTCACAGCATTCTTCAAAAAAATATAAACATTTAAAAAAATCTGACATGGCTTTAACCAAAAAGAACTAGTATTTTAATTTTTCCTATTACCGAAACAGACTTTTCCTATTCACAAAATGGGTAATTTAGTTTTTGAGGATTTTTAGTGGAGGTTTCAAGGTAAACCATACTAAAAACTTGAAGCGATATGGGATATCCACGAAGCGCTAAATTCAGCTAAAACCCCTTCTTTTTGAATATTAGTTTATCCATAGAAACCAGCAGAATATTGAAAATCTGGAATAAATACATTAATTATGCGTAGCAAACATGAGTGCGCAAAGAGTTTCCGTGCGCAAAGAGTTTCAGTGTGCAAAGTTCAACTTTGCGCACGCAAATGAGTGTGCAAAGTAATTACTTTGCGCACGCGATTAGAAAAAGAATAAATTAGCCGCTGCCGTTTTTTCTGATCAAAACCAGCGAGTAGAGAAATCTCGAAATGCGCGGTGATTCACATACAAATTCCCCAAGACATAGGTACATGAGAAAAGCATCATCGCTGGAAACCCACAAGAGACTTGACTTGAGACTGACCCATTAGAAATTCTTTTATTTTCAAACAACTTCCAAGAAGCTGGAGCTTGTTTTTTTCCAATCCCTTCTAAAAAAAAGCTATATTTGTACGCAAAAATATAGCATATGCATATTTACACAATATCTCTTTTGTGCAAATTTGATGGAAAAAAAATACAATTTTAAACTAAATTATATTCATATAAATAGGTATACATATAACATAAGTCAGTCTTTTTTTTAAACAATGCCAGATACTGGCACTCAGACGCTCAAAGTATCCTTCACAGCTTCTTCAGGCGACTTGTAAATAACCTGACTACCACCATTAAGGGTGACCGTAGCATCGTCAATCTTTAAGTACGTTTTGTGAAGCACCAAGTGTATAATACTGCAAAGTACTCCTAGCGCGCTAAAAACCTGAAAAGCGCTTCTTCCATTGATGTACTTGTATAGTACACCACCTAGGATACTACCAATAGCGTAACCTAAAAAAAATTGATGTTTATTTGAAAAAGTTGTTATAATGATATTCTTACCAACTCCATCGTCCATTCCAGCAGCTATTCCTTGCATGGTAGCTGAAGCACCAGGAGGTGCTAGCTCATTAGCATAAGCCACTATAGTAGTGTAAGTTAGAGCATAAGTAGGACCTTGGAACATGAATTCCACTGGTAATATCCACCATGGGTTTGGAGCAAGCGATATTAGGGCTAGCCGAAGAGCATAGTTGACAAAACACATGCTAAAGCAGTGAACGTGACCAAAACGTTCCAGGATTTTACCTGATAAGAAAATGATATTTAAAAATTAGAAACAATACAATAATTTTACCTGATATTGAAAAAAATAAAACTTCTCCACCTAATGTTTCGGCTGCCACAATGAGCCCTTCAAGTAATTTTATATTTCCGGTATCTGTGGCAGCAGCCAAGTCTTCTACGTACCAGAAAAGGAAATAAATTAGAAAACCGTCTAGGATTCCAGCTAATATTGCGAAACTCATGAAGGTGATGACTTGGCGGTCGTTCATGAGTTCTTTGAGGTCTTTTATAATGTTTTTAGGTGCTTCGATGATCGGCAACTGGAACAAATTTGTTCAAATGTATCACATAACATAAAATCGAGCCGAAGTGAATAATTTAATTTAAGAAATTGAAGGTAAGTTAAGTTCCAGGCCATTCCCAAACCAGCTGGTTGACTCAAGATTTTTTCAACATAGAAGGCTTCCCCAAAAATGGAGAGGCCTCATCATAGTAAGTTAACTTTACATTCATGATATTTGTAAATATTCAGATTATATATTTACCTTAAGTTTGAAGCAACAAATTAAATCCAAAATCGAAAAGATGACCATTACAATAATAGCAGGAATGTAAGAAATCGTCTGTCCTGAAAACAAGTCAACAATATAGCCAGATAATAGGGCTGTTGTACCAAATCCTATTGTGCCCCATACTCTTTGCTTGCCATAATCGTAATCTTCACCGATAACATCAAAACAAATCGCATCACTTATCGAGTTGGTGACATTGAAACCGATACTTCCAATGGACATCAATATCAAAAAGCACCAAAATGTTATAGAGTGATATAGTACGCTATCATCGGTTTCGTTATTTTCTATGCATTTGATTTCGCAACTTCTGTCTCCCAGCAGAAAGGGAAAAGTTTCATTGTCCGGTGAGCAAAGTTTCAAAAACGATCCGTTGTTGGCGTCGATGAAGCCCTGCGAGCTACAACTGGTCATGAAGAATTCATCTGGATGATCGAAACATTCCGAGGTGCATGTGACCGCTTTTGTGTGGTTTTGGCAATTCAGCTCGGTGAAATCCTATGGAAAAGGAACTGAGAATTTCTAGTTGTTTTTAATAATGAAATTATTGGGTTTCAAAGTCTGTTCCACCAAAAATAATTATGTAAAAACAATTATCTGATTGGGTTAAAATCAATCATTACTAATTAGGCTTGATTGCAGTTGTTGCGTGATTTTTGTATTGTCTTAAACTCTTAAATGAAGGTAAATTATTTTGGAAAAGTGGTCTCACCCAACGACGGAGCTATAGCTTTCACATGGGGGGGGGGGTTTAGAGCAGTAATGGCCACTCATGGTCTATGTTGGAAAGGGTTTCAATTTTAGACCAGACGATGTATAGGCGACCGGGCGTAGCATAGTCAGAGCTGTTTCGAGTACAGGCAAAATGTACTCGGCTACCGGGTACAAGTACTTAGCGTAGAATGTTCTTGATTACAGAGTACAATTACAAGTATTCAATACCCAAGTATTCAAAGTACCGTATACATTTATGAATACATTCTAATACCACTTTACATTCCTACCTAATGATGTCATAGGTACAAATTATTACGTAACGTCCTCTTTCAACCTTCCATTAGGCGCGCGAGTTTTATAACATCATTAGTCGCGCTGTAACACAGAGATGACAGAGATACATATACTAAATCATTGATAAAAAAATTGATTCATCTGATAAATTTCGGTTTTACAATTTCTATGTATTGATTCGTGTACTCAACAATCAAAGATAAAATATTTTCACTGAAAAAGAGATTCTAGAAGTTGAATTCTTCCCCACAACGCCCGGCAGCTTTAGCATAATATTATGTGGTCTCATCCGAGTCAGCTTGGGAGGAATTTTGTCTTATCGAGTTCCATCTTTACCTAAGCTCATGTACCATAATATATGTATAAAAAAAATATATTTACATACCAAGGAAACAGTTACAATTGAGGAGCACCGATGGTAACAAGTATAGCTGCGTTGTATCAGTAAGGTACAAAGCCGAGCGCAGCCGGAGTTTTTTGGAAATTCCAAATTTCCAGGTAGAGGTACGATCATGTAATTTTGGGAAAGTGATTAGTATAGGGTGCCTAAGGACTACTACATGCCATAATATTATAGGGTTTTTGCTTTTTGATTTATTTGCAAAAATAATAGGCATGTATCTCTCAGATACACGCGCGACTAATGGAAGGTTAAACAGCCTTGATTTATCATGGAAATCTAATGAATCCTTATAGGCTGCAAGCGCTGAGGTAGCTGCGAACTTAGCATTGCACATGGGTTATGACGTCACCTCCCCTTTTACACTTCCGTCACATTTCCCGAAATTTACCATCAAACCGCCGGTATACATGTTCACACATCAAAAATTGAAAAACACATTTTGGTTTACTAAATGAATTCAGCAATTTTGAAGTTTGATTTGGTTATCCAGAGTCCAGAGTTTATAAGGACTCGGTTATAACGTTATAACTGCACAAATTATAATTTATAATTATATATTCTGAATCATAATTAAATTATCTTTAAGATAGAATAAGATTCAATTCTCTATCTTAAATATTTCTAGAGATATTGAGGCTCAAAGTCAAAACTTTGTCTCAAATTTCACAAAAGATTCAAAACTGATTTTCTTGAAAACGAAGTCCTTGAGTTCGGAGTCTCAAATAACCTTTTTCTCGATTTTGATGTGAGAATGTCATTATTCCCGCACGCAAAATCTTTGAAGAATGAAGTTTATTCTTCAACGATTTTAAGTGACATTTAGTTTTCAAAGTATACCTAAAATCTGTTTTTTTTTTTAAAAGATAAAAGTCAAAATGACATTATGTTGGCAATACAATGTAAAATTGTCAATCCTTCAAATTTTTTTATGTAGAAAAGGCTTCTGTTGCCAACATAGTTACTAAATTTTTGACTTGAGGAATTATCTTTAAAAAAAAACAGACTTTATTGGTACCTTCAAAATTGTCAAACCTTCTACAATGATATAATCCACCTGTCAGTTTGTTGGTAAGTAAGTGTCACCAACTGACATATTTTGAAAATAAAAAATCTCCAACTAACAGCGTTCACAAAAAAATTTAAAAAATGAAAAATAAAATCCAAAATCGAGAAAATAGTATAACGGCCAATTTCATAATCAACTCAAAGTAAACTTTAAATTTAAAGCTCCATTTGAAGTTGAAAAATCCTATATTTAAAGTCTATTTAGCTAAAGTTACTTTTAATTCTCTATTATGAAATTGGCCGTAAAACACACGTTGCAAAAAGGCTATTCTCGCACTCATACGTTCGTCCACTCGCTCCTTCGTCGCTCGTGGCCAAATTTCGAATTCGTGCGGAAATATGTGTCCTTCTGCAACTTGTATTTTAATACACTATTATAGCTCTTCTCCAGAGCTACAATTGAGCAAAAGATTCATGCCGATAGCTTTACTGGTTTCTAAAATATGGCCCTTTGAAATATTTGAAAATCAAATTTCCATGCATACCCCTTTCAAAAAATTTGAATTTGCAGTTGACCGAACGACGCGGAGCGGAGTTCGGTCAAGCCGTTAAGGGCGGTAAAGGCACTTTCCGCATGTGTTAGGTACAAAATTTTACCTATGAGCATGTACATCTCTAAAAAAAGGCATTGATAAAATTAAATATTGAATCAGATTAATTAATGAAATTAGATTAGATATAGAAATGATCAAATATCCATTTTCTGAAAAAGAGAGGATTTTAAATTTTTTTATTAAATTTTACTTTACCGCGCACTATGCGGTAAAGTGCACTTTACCGCACACTTTGTAGTCCACTTTACCGCATACTATGCTGTAAAGTTAACTTTATCGCATGGTGTGCGGTAAAGTGATACTTTCCATTTGCAAATACGTGCGGTAAAGTGCACTTTACCGCACGCTCGTAGGTAATAGCATTTACGCAACTTTGTTTTTTGGGTTTTAGGGCTTGTAAAAAAATAAAAACTGTTTTTCCACATTTTGGGCCCAGAAAATTTTAATAAACTGACATTGTCTCTTAAAATCGCTCATTACTCGGTTATAACTGCACATATTAGTATAATTATATATTTTGAATCAAAATTAAATTATCTTTAAGATAAAATAAGATTCAATTCTCTATCTTAAATAATTTTAGAGATATTGAGGCTCAAATTCAAAACTTTGTTTCAAATTTCACAAAAGATCCAAAGCTGATTTTCTCGAAAACGAAGCCCTTGGTTTCGGAATCTCAAATAACCTTTTTTTAGCCCTTCTGAAGAGCTACAATTGAGCAAAATATTTATGCCGATAGCTTCACTGGTTTCCAAAATATGGCCCTTTGAAATATTTGAAAATCAATTTCCCATGGAAAAATTTGAATTTTTAAATTTTTGGATTTTGCGATTTTTGACTTTACCAATCGAAAGAGGAGGTGAATATTAGTGGAAAAGCATTTACGCAACTTTGTTTTTTGGGTTTTAGAGCTTGTAAAAAAAATAAAAATGATTTTTGCAATTTTTGAGCTCTGAAAATTTCAATAATCTGACATTGTCCCACAAAATCGCCATTACTCGGTTATTATTGCAACAAAAATGATGTAAGATTATATATTCTGAATCAGAATTAAATTATCTTTAAGATAAAATAAGATTCAATTCTCTATCTTAAATACTTTTAGAGATATTGAGGCTCAAAGTCATAACTTTGTTTCAAATTTCACAAAAGATTCAAAGCTGATTTTCTCAAAAACGAAGCCCTTGGTTTCGGAGTCTCAAATAACCTTTTTTATAGCCCTTCTGAAGAGCTACAATTGAGCAAAATATTTATGCCGATAGCTTCACTGGTTTCCAAAATATGGCTCTTTGAAATATTTGAAAATCAATTTCCCATGCATACCCCTTTGGAAAAATTTGAATTTTTGGATTTTGCAATTTTTGACTTTACCAATCGAAAGAGGAGGTGAAAATTAGTGGAAAAGCATTTACGCAACTTTGTTTTTTGGGTTTTAGAGCTTGTAAGATAATAAAAATGATTTTTGCAATTTTTGAGCTCTGAAAATTTTAATAATCTGACATTGTCTCACAAAATCGCTCATTACTCGGTTATTATTGCAACAAAAATGATGTAATAGTATATTACATACCGAGTAGGGAAGTGTTTCATTACTGTCGAGAGATTTATATAGTCAATCGAGACGCGAAGCGTCGAGATTGACTATTAATCGCGAGACAGAAATGAAAACTTTCCTCCGAGGTTTGTATACTATTTTATTTGCAAGCACACCATTAATTATGATTAGTCATTTAATTTTTTAAATATAAAAAAAATAAAACAAACATGCCAAAATGTGTCATTCACTGTTTTGACGTTTTTACCTGACATGTTCTCATTGTTGCCAGCAAAGGTAAATAAATTACAGTGAGGGAAATCGGTGAGGGAAGTCGAATAGGGAAATCGGTGAGGGAAATCGAAGAGGGAAGTGACACAGGTAAAGTGACATTTCCAAATTTTTAAAAAACCAGTAATATCAAGATTACATATATGATTGCAAATAAAATTATATATTATTCTAAATCAGAATTAAATTATCAATAGTAATATAACTAGTGCAATGGAAATTATTGATAATTTTTGGGAAATTTGCCCGAAATTTTTAGTTGAAAAAGAGTGCACGTAGTGCACGAGTGCCTTTTTCAGTTAAAAACGCATGAGTGCAAATTTGTTGAAAATTATAAATATATTTCCTTTGCACGAGTTGTATTTAATGAGAGAATTTCATAAATCAAAAATTTGAATTTTTTGTCAAAAAATGTCAAAACACCAGTTTTCGCACCAGTTACTATGCAATTATCTGATAATTTGCACTAGTGCAAATTATCAGATAATTGCAATCTGATTGGTTCAAATCAACAATCAAAACATGTCAATTCATTGTTGGAATACCAGTTTTGACAGATGTATGAAATTCTCTTTAAGATAGAATAAGATTCAATTCTCTATTTTAAATACTTCTGGAGATATTGAGGCCCAAAGTCAAAACTTTGTCTTAAATTTCACAAAAGATTCAAAGCTGATTTTTTCGAAAATGAAGCCCTTGAGTTCGGAGTCTCAGATAACCTCCTTTTATTGAGATAAAATTCAGTGAAAATTCCAGCTTTCTATCTATAATAGAAAAAAAGTTATGACTTTTCAAATTTTTCCAAAATCTAAATCATAAGATGTGCTTTATGGGTTTGCAAAAATGTACTTGTGGCCAAATAAATATGTATTTAGTTAGAGTTCAATAATTTCACTCACAACTAAAAATGTTTTCAAAAACAATGAAAATACCCGGGTATAACAAATGTATTTAAGTAAAAACGCATGTACGCGGGTATTTTGAAAATTACTCAGTACAATAAAAAGTACCAGGTACCTATTTTCTATATATTCTTAAGCAGTCCAAGTACGAGTACAAGTACGCGATTCAGAAAGTATCTTGGCCTGAGTACCGAATAACTAAAAATATACTTAGAGTACAAGTGAAGAGTACTCGTACCGTACCCGAGTACCGCCCAGCTCTGAAGTCCATCAGGATATCGTCAAAGGCGAATTTTTTTTTTCGGTTGCCTCGGCCAAAAACGTTTATTTTTCTTCAATAAAAATATTTTTTTCAGTTCAATGGGGGGGGGGGTTCGAACCCCCAAAACCCCCCCCTTATATACGTCCTTGGTCTCACCTATAGTTTTAAATTTCATTCAATTGTAGTCGTCATTATGAAATAACCACTTTTAGTATGCTGTTCTCATAGAACTAAGCGATTCCTCTAGAGTTTAAAATATTTGGAACAAAATTACTATTGTTGGAACAGTTCTATCTACATACTAACAACTACTGACTATAAATTTACATGTGTCCAAAAAATAGTCCTGCACAGGTCCTTCTACAACAATATGGCCAAGTGTCTTAGGTACCGGTATGAGGGCAATTAGAGCAAAAGATATTGTCATCAAAAATATGAGCATCATAAAAATGGTTTTCCTGTAATTCCTATAAACGTCAACCACAATTCCGAATAGTGGTTTGGTTATCAGAAATGCAAACGGTAATACACCAGTTACTGTGCCCATAATAACTGTTGAAATGCCCATTTCTTTGCCATAGACTGAGAGTTGGGGTAAGATAGGTCCCATGGCTAAAAAAATAATATTCAACTACTAATTAAAATTAAAATTATTATGTTTACCTGACATGAAGAAGAAATAATGGGCCTTGATGGGCAAAAGTTGCTTATTTATCTTCATTGTGGATATCTGGAACAATTTTTTTCGTCTATGTCATTATTTCACCAGGTGATTAACACTAATATAAAAGGAAATCAGATGACCAATTTTGTTACAAAGTTATTAACTAAAAATAGACGTCAGTGTACGAACGATAACCCTATCTATTTGATGTGCGACTATAAACTGATAATAATTTAGTATTCTTGTTATTATCAATTGTTATCGTTATCACATGATAATACCCGGTAGTACTCATACTTGGAGTCATGCCTGATTTCTGATTCATTTGTTAGAAATGTCTGATACAAATCCAAAGTAGAGAGTTACTAAATACACAATGTGACTGGTTGACATAATGTAGGTATTTATTGTGTGGTGCTAATTTTGAATTTTTCAACAATGTAACAAAATTTGTCGCTGAGCGTGGGAAATTATTACAATTTGAATATATGTATAAAATAAATGTATTAATAATTTAATTGTCGGCTATATGACACACAGTAATTTGAATGGTTTGGAACAAAGGAATTTAGATGATATTTACCTATAAAATTTCTCACTAAACTTACCACTGTTTAAATGTAAAAATGTATGCACAATATTTGACTATTTGTTATAAAATCTACTTAGTTAATTAAAGTGATGATGTGAGAAAAACTCGTTCCAACTATTACAAACCAAAACAACTTAATTATATAAATATATCGTTTTTGTTTTAATTCTATATCACATTATTTATATAACAGAATGACTTACTCAGAATTAAAAATATTCAAGAGCCAAAAGCAAACATCCGAAACAATTGACTTTCTAAATCCTATTTGATAATGCGAGTCTCTCTGGGGCCTGGTTATATCTAAATTAGTTAATCCCACATAGTTTAGGTATCTGTTTGCATTTAGAAGAACATTTTTGTAACATTATCTAAAATGACAAATATTGTTTGTATATAATGTTAGAAGGCTTCAATGAAGGTAAGTTTACAATTTTGTGTTTTATGAACTTTTTTCGTTGAATTTTGCGGAACTTAAATTAATGATCATTCTCCCACACTTTCTTAGAAAACATAAACACTCCAGAAATAAACTTTACATAATGTTTTTACCTTTTTGTCTAGATGCGTTTGCACACTATTAGAACACCGTCATAATATAATAAGCCAGTTGTTGCATTATTATAAGTTTGTTGTATTTGAACTTGACACGGGTTTGCGACACGTTGAAAAAAAAAAAACACTCGTGAGTCTATTGAATGTCATTTCATTACTGTTTTGAGAATCGGTTTTGCGCAAGAACGTCTTATGTTTTATTTTAATTTAAGCAGTTCCTTTAGGCCGTTAATTCTTAGAAGGGAAATAAACGCGTATAAGTATCATAGGTATTCAAATACTTTTTGAATATCCACAGTTTTTGATGAGGGGATTAGTATCTAGACAGATTTTTATATATTCGAAAAAGAATTACTTACTTATGTCTACTTGCTACTAGTATTAGTTAGGTATTCCAACTAACACGCTAACAGAATCTGTGTTAGACAAAACGCATAACGCAGGTTTGAGATAGTGAATATAAAATACCTACCTACTTTATTAGTTTTTATATTCAAAAGTTCCATTTAGACAGAAGACTGATCTATAACACTTAAACACACTCGAGCCAAAGTCAAAGTTGAATCAGGCTTTCTCATCTTACGATTCTACCTCTTCAAGACCCTGTTAGTCTCATAAGTAAGACCGCTTTGATAGCATACGTTTATTTTTAGGAAAGTTAATGAAATACTGAGCTTTTTATTGGCCTTGGTTTATTTATAGATGGATCCGCCAGAAAATTGCAACAAAATCCAAACATCATCCTTTTCCTGGAGAGTTTCTGGGAACTACATCAGTCATCAGGGACTGAAGATTGAATATACCTCATTAGGCCACTAATGACACAGTAAGCAGAAGTTCTTAGGCATTGTAGTCCTTCACGGAAAAATCGCTGAAACTTTCAGCATTCTATCTATAATAGGAAAAACGTTACGATTGTTCAAAGTTCAACTTCATACACTAAATTATCCTGAGATTTGAAGCCGAAATCTTTGGAAAATGGACGTCATCAGGAAATCGGAAAATTGAAGAAATCACCCCACATTGCTTAACGCGATTTTATTTTAAGAACTATAGATCCAAAAAAACTGAAATTCTCAGGGATTGTAGTACTCCACGAAGATAAGAATCGCTGAAAATTTCAGCATTTTTTCTATAATAGGAAAAAGTTATGAATATTCAAAAATCTAAATCGTAGGTAAGTCTAAAACGATGAAATTCCAAATTTCTTTATGTTGAGATTTTATGTAAAACTTATCATTTGAGATCCCCCCGACTCGATACACTGAATTATTCTGAGATTTGAAGCCGAAATCTCTGGAAAAATGACGTCAGGATTAGTCAGGAAATTGAAAAATTGAAGAATTCACCCCACATTGCTTAATGCAATTTTATTCCAGGAACTATAGATTCAAATGAGCTCAAATTTTCAGGGATTGTAGTACTCCACGGGAATAAGAATCGCTGAAAATTTCAGCTTTCTATCTATAATAGGAAAAAAGTTACGAATGTTCAAAGTTTTCAAAAATCTAAATCGTAAGGTAGCTACCTTAGTAGCCGAAATCTCTGGAAAAAGGATGCCAGGAAATTGAAAAATTGAAAAATTCACCCCACATTGCTTAACGCGGTTTTATTTCAGGAACCATAGTTCTAAATGTCTTGAAATTCTCGGGGATTTTAGTCTTCCACGGGGACAAGAATCGCTGAAAATTTCAGCTTTCTATCTATATTAGAAAAAAAGTTATGAATGTGGGTGTTCTCTTTTTACTTTGACTGACTGTAAAAATTAAGCATTAGGTCTTGGATCATTTAAATCCTTGTATTATGGGTTAGAAGTTGCCTTCATTCTCATTTATACAAATAAAACGCTGAAATAGAATAGTTATCAATTTAATTAATAAATGAAAGTAATTCGGTATACCTAGTCAGCAATCAAATCCTATCTAAAAATTCCTAATTGGACGTCCAGTCGAACTACACATTTTATACTAATCTAAAGTAAAGTAAATGAGTATCTTGATTTATAAAGGGTAGGGAAATCTGATAATGATAGTAATATCATTTATGATTAAATGTTAGGTGAACGGAACGAAAGCACAAATTCACTAATTAAATGCACGAGAGCACAACATAAATGATTCGTCAACTTTAATCAGTTCACTGTAATCACAAAATGTTTATTGATCCTTGAAAGTTCTTTTCTTTATTGAGAGTTAACAATTTAAACACCTTTCTGCTGAAGTCTATAAACAATATGTGCAAGAAAAGTCATTATATATGCTCAGTTTCTATATTCAAATGTACGCATGTTAATTTCACGAGTGTGAAACCAAATTTCTGCATTAAACATTCCAAGACACTTCAGATTATAGTGCATTTCAAGCGAATCACTAATCAGTATTTTTATTATTCGACTGTTAGAGAAATTGTAACGGTCTTACTTGCTTAATCCAGTTCATGCAGATAAATCCACAAGGCGATTATTTATCCATTTATCACTATTCACACTGGCAGCTAGAGAATTTTCCATTGAGATGAAAGCACAACGATCTGCACATGCAGGTGCGTTAGAGCCCGGTGAGAGTGAGAGAGAGAGCCACAAACAGGCGTTTACGAGAGAATTTTTCTCGTCCGAGGTGACTTGCAATAATAGGGGTTAATTACATGAGTTCTAATCAATAATGTAGACCATGTCAGGCGTTGAGACACAGAGAGTAGTATTTTACTATATAAATCGCGCGTACTAACGGGGGTTTTTGGGGAGCATCAGAGGGCGCAAGGGCGCGAACTCTTCGCTCATTCTAATAGTACTGAAGAATGTGTGTCGACTAGCTCTGCCATGGAGCAGGTCGCAAAAACTAGGAAACAATGTGGCGGCTCACCAATCACAGCGACGAGAAAGGCCCACTACCTTATAAGGTAATGAAGAAACCGTCAATTTTATTGGTTCAAAGGGTTGTTGCTGCCGGTTTTACAGGATAAATAGTCCAGCAATAGCATCTATTATTAGGATATTATTTTTATGGTAAATAATAGAGAGGAAAATCATATCAAATTAGAAATAATAAAATTTAAACTTGTTGTGGGTTATTTCCGCAACACTTCCAACGCATAATCTGTTCACTGAACGGTGTTGATTGTTTTTTCAACTGGAAATTCAACCATTTGAACTGTTTTAGTTTCATTGGGAGGCTGGAAGAACTGTGTATGAAGTAGTGTTAAAATAGGTACCTATGTTGAATGGTTGATCATGAGAAATGCGAAACAAATTTTTGAAAAAATATTTCCAGAATCACCTACTTTTTTAATCACTTCACTTCAAAGCCAGTGGGATTTATGAACTCCATTATATCAAACAAAATTATTAGGTATGCCAACTAATTATTCGCCAATTAATGAGGTACAAAAAGAAATAGTCTTAACTGAAGATGTGTAATGAGATGACCAGTCAACCACAAGAATATAAGGGTGAGAGTACATAAGTCTATGAACTCCACAAGCCAACCAAGTCGTAGACGAAAAAACTATAATGAATATTGAATCACAGGAAATTCAGGATAAGACGGAATCTCCAGCATAATGTTAAAACTATGGTCACATGGGATTCATCAGAAGTTTCACTTGATAAATAAATGTCTCACTAAAAGACATCAAATAAACAAGTTCTTTTCGAAACCCTCGAGCTATCATTATTCCAAAAAAAAGATATCAACTGAAACTGGGAAAATTTAAACCGATTAACCTTCTCGCCTATCCATACAAACTTCAACAAAGCTTAAAAATAACTTAAACACTATTTCTCCAAAATTATTTACCAGGAATGGAAATTGGAAGAAGTAGGTATTCGAAAAGTTACACTGGAATGTAAAAGAGATCCAGTATCGACAGAAGACGTTTAAACCATCTCCTCTCGATAACCAGTAGGTAGACAAAGAGAATTGAAAGAAATTATAATTGACTGGAATGATTAAAAATAATGAACCCCAAGAAAAATCTAATTCCTCCCTGCAACTTGAAGATATCGTCCTTCCATAGATCCTGGAATCTACCAACGATCCGTTTGGTTGCGAAACTAGGATTTTCTTTGCACCTCCCTGTAACTATCTTCTGTACTTTAAGTCACTCCAGTTCTTCCTCGATTTGAATTAGTTTATAGAAAACTTCTGGGATTTGGAAATAAATTCCAGCTCTTCCAAAGCTGCTAATGGAAAAAGTATTTTTCTGGAAATCGCATAAGGTTCTCTTTACCATGAATGAAGTAAATGTATTTAGAAAAGTGTTCAATGAGTTAATTATTATTGGATATGGATATATCCTGACCTCATTACTTTGGTTTTTGTCATGTCTATTTCAAACATGATTTGCTTCATGAAGCTCTTGAAGTATGATCAAATTCACCCGCTGTGTTGCCGATTATGCAAATGGTTTTACCAAATTCAGTTTTCAAAGACATATACCATCGGATTTTTTAGTCGAATATTATATTGTCCATGCTTCGACAGAATCAGACGCCTTCGATAAGTCGACAATAAGTTTAGCATTTTGCAATATTTTTGGAATTCGTGCCTCAAGGAGTTTTGGAGTAAATAATTAAAATGTGAAGGCATGTCATATAAACAGATTTTTTAGAAAGTTTCAACTTTGAAGGCTGATAAGGCTAAACGGGACATTGTTAATAAAAGCTCGTTACAGAGAATTCAATTCTCTATCGAATAAGATATGATTCATTGAAATCGGTTTAGAAACATCAAAGTTATAGCCAATTTAATGGAAGCGGTGTCGAATCGCCACAAAATAGTGAAAATTCATGGAAAATCGGAAAAATTAAGGGAAAAAAAGTTGGTTTTGGGACTTTTTGGGATCCCCTGTATAAAATGGCTATCTTGAAATTTCGAAATTCTGACTATGGTTTTTGGCCCTATACCTACCTTTATTTACGACTAATGTATAATGTGCGTATTATATTTGTGATTTTGGCAGTATAATGACATATGTTATTCCTCCAGGGATTAATGACGAGTAGCGGGATTAATGGTCATTATTCCACAAAAGTGTCAGTGTCAAACGTGTAGTGCGTGTGGATTTGTATTGAAAATTATGAGACGGATGAAATTTGTTCATTGAAAATCTCAAATAAATTAATTTGTCGTAAATAAAGTAGAGTATACTACTCGCAATAATGGCTATTATTCCCTCGGAATGTTACTCCCTCGCCGCTAACGCGGCTCAGTTCGTAATAATCCTCGGGAATAATAGCTATCATTATTGACTCGTGGTATAATCTACTATTAACACAGGAAACTCTGAAAATGACGAAATTTGGAAGTCGAACCGGCCATAACTACGTTACGGTAAGTCGTGGAAAAAAACTTCGCGGGCAGATTGTATAGCTCGACAAGATCTACAAACGAGTTACGGTTTTCCAGATATTTCACTTGGAAGTTTTAAAATCATTGGACGTCCAGCTTTTTTTTTTTGGTCAAAAAATCAAAATCAGGATTTCTCGAATTTTGTCACTACGTCATAGAGGAGGTCCAGAGAAATGTCGGAAGCCATTCCCCCCCCCCCCCCCCCCCCGCTTAATTTCCCGTTTTTCAAAAGTTTCCTGCCCTTTTCTATAACTACCCCATAAAATAGAAAATAAAAATTTTCCGAATTTTGGAAAAACTAAAATTCCACTGTATAGAGGAGGTCAAAACAAGTAGAAAAGCTATTTGGCATTTTCCTATAGGACGTCTCTTAAGCCCGGAAAAAAAAATAGGGATGAGGCTTTTCCCAGCCTGACATGGTCTTATTAAATCGGCCATAACTCTGGAACGCCTGGATCGATTTCAATGAACTATATTTCATTCGATAAAGGATTAAATTGCCCACATAATGGCTTTATCCAGAGTTTTCCCGTT